TCTGCCACCACCACTCCCACGACTGTCACCATTACCATCACCACCACCGTTGCCACCCAACCACCACCACCACAACTATCGCCACCACCACAACTATCGCCACCCTCACAGCACCCCCATTGCCCCACCACCACACCTATCATTACTGCCACCATCCCGCCACTACCGTCATCATCGCCTCCCCATCACCACCTTTGACACAACAACCACCCACCACCGATTACAACCACCATCATCCACCCACCACCATCGTCATCCAATTTTTATATTTATTACCTCTATCACTATCATCCGACTACCACCGTTGTCCACTATCAACACTCACGACCATCATTATTGCCAACCACCACCCAATACCACAACCCACCATTGCCGCTAGCCACTGTCACCCACTTTCACAACACCGACTATCACCACTCGTCATCACCCATCACCGTCGTCACCTGCTATCACCTACCCCCACCACACCTACCACCACCGCTATCATTCGTCAGCACCCATCACACTGTCACTCAGAAGCACCCGTCGTCGCCTACAACCACCATCGTCACCGCTGCTTCAACTACAAATGTGTAAATTCAAGCACAAGTTGAGCAAAATAATATATTTCTCAAAAGACTAGGGTCGAACCCTTAGGAAATTGTGAAACAGTAACAATCACACTACTACTATAACAATCTTGTAACGATGATTTGTTTAAAAAAATATTGAATTGAGACAGTATAACAAAAATATTAGAACATTAGGTACTCCCTCTCAAATTTATACAATAATGATTAAAGACTTAATTTTTAACCCTAGACACGAATCAAATATCGGATGATTCAAATCACCAAATTTATCAATAAAACCACAAGAATGTCTTTATTTATAATCAAAAGATTATTCAGAAATCTGAATAATCATTCAATTATATTATTCTATGAAATAATGATAATCAATTTAAACATGGAATAACCAGTTATTTAACTCGCACAAAAATTCAAGCAATTAATGTACATGGCATAATGATTCAAAGATTTTACAGAGCAAAAACTTTGTTAAGAAATCAAAAGTTGAATTAATAAAAAATCACATTTCATTAAGCTCAGAAGTCAATAACATTACCGTATTTCATTGAAAAGTCCTCTCATCCCTAGCTGAACTTTTTAGCCAGACATGATGAACTAAAACCAAATATAAAATATAAAAAGATTTCAAGCCAAAGTCTTCAACTCTTATTTATCAAACTATTTTGGAAAAGATCGAGTTGCACTAAAATTCTGCTATGGCATTTGCAGACAATTAACACGCGTCTAGATGCATGTCTCTTTCCCTTCCGGACGCAACTTCCAGTACATTCCTCCTCTTCAGCCTCCACCTTCCGTCACTCGCATCTAGACGCGTAACCTTCAACCGTTCCGATGCGCTTTCCAGTGTGCTTCTTTTTAGCTTTGCTCTACTTTAACTTAATTTCTTCTAATTTACAGCAATTATCCTGCAAAATAAACACAACTCATCATTTATTAGCATAACATCTATTCTTGAATAATTTATCATATTTATCAAACTTTCCTAACCAAATAATTGATTTTTTCCAATAAAAAATGTAAGTTTTACACCTTAATCAACTGCCCACCATCACCGTCATCGCCCCACCATCATCATTGTCAACCACAATTATCGTCGCCCACTACCCACACACCCACCACCACCGTCAACCATGACTGCTACTACGACGATCACCATTACCACCCACCACAACCATCACCATCTCCCACTACCACTACTATCGTTCACCCCCACTATAACTGGTGCTTAAATTCATTTCTTATTCTTCTATGTTTGTGATTTAATTTTGGATATGAATACAAATATATTTATTATTGACCATTTTTTTTGCTATTCAGTACCTTCAGGTATGGACAATAACTAGTGTACTTAAAAAGAGGATTTAAAAACTAAACTTGATAATTATAATCATTGATTTCACTGTATGTCACAGTATTTATTAGGACTCACTACCTATTCAATGATTGGGATTTATCAAGTCTAATTTTTAAATCTATCTAGCATTACTCTAGTTTTTAAGTCCATCTAATTTTTAAGTCCTCATATTTGATCGCTTATAATTTGCCTACTACGTTACTAAAATATTCTTTTTAATATTATACATTTACCTTTTATTAAATTTAATTTTAACACGTATAATATTTTATTTATTATTTTTATATATTTATTATTTTTTAAACAATAATTATAAATCATCTCCCTCAAACTCATTGGTTGGGGATAAGTTTTGGTATGTTACGACCATACACAACTCTTTAGGACATTCTATATAATTTTTGAGGTCATTAAAAATTGTTCCGGATTTTTGTGTTCAGTCAGCATGGATCATTTTTTACTAAACTGAAAAACTTGTATTTTAGCCCACAAAAGTTATAAATTTTAGTACCCTACTTTCTTTGATAATCAAATCTAATCCCATACACATAAGGTCTACATATGGTAGAAATTTTTTTCGACATGTACCTCATTTTATTTTACTTTATTATTTGTCTAATCAATAGCTACAAAAACTATTTTGATATGATACCAATTTTTTTGCAGTATTATAGACTTATCCATGTAAGAGCATCTTCAATAAAACTTCTATTTTCACTCAATTTTCTATTATAGAGAGTCTAACCCTTAAAATTTCTTCTTCAATTGACTCTTTATTTAAACTCTCTAAAATAAAGAGTCCAATTTGACTCATTATAGTATCTCCAATCATTACTCAAATTTAAATTAACATTTGAGTAAAAAACTTAATTTGATACAAAGAGCTCCAGTTGACAAATTCAAATTTAAAAAAAAACTAAATTTAAATAAGAGCAAACTTAAATTTAAAAGAGAGTAAAGATGATCATTAGATATTTAAAAGATGATAAAATCTCACTATTAAAGATTTGGGTAAGATTTTGTGTCTCCTTTGAATTGGTATAAGTTTGAATCAAATGTTGGAGTACGTTTTTTGACTCAAATTTAAATTTGAGTCAGTGTTAAAAATATTTTTATATTAACTCAAACTCACTCACTACTCTATTTTCTTAGAACAGAAAAATGATATATTTATCTTTTTATGTTAGAAATTAAGGATAAACGTATCTCATTTAAAATAATAAAGAAAAAAAATGAGAGAATTCAAATTTATTGTCGAAAATGACAAAACATAAAATGATAAGAATTGAGAGTCCTGTTGGAATAGTGTGTAACAATCCAATCCCTAATGTAACTTTTTACTAAAGATCTTCTCTATTTTAGTTAAGATACTCTCTAAAATAGAAAACACTGTTGTAGGTGCTCTATGGGTCTGATTACTACTTTTCAATTAATAAAATTGAGACTAAGTATAATGTTTTTGTATTTTATAGTACTTTATCATGTTTTGCAATCAATGATTGCATATATATGACAAACATCCCACTTATATAGAATATTAATTTGTTGTATTTCAAATGAGGCTGAGGCTATTATACATTCTTATCCTAATTTGAATTTGAATCAAAATGCAATCCACTAATAGATTTATGTATCATTCGATCATGCGTAATTAAAATTTTTGGTCCTTTTTAAAGATATCATCTCTTATGAATTAAAAATGAATTCATTTCCACATAGAATTCCTACCAATATATATATATATATATAATTTGTTGAAGAGATTCTGAAACATGGATTATGTTCAAGTTTACTAGCAAGAATTTATATCTATTGGAGTTAATTAATGATAAATTTTTTGAAGCATAATCAATATAAGATCATCTATCACGAACCTAAGTGTAATTTATTGAGATCATGAACTTAAGTGTAATTTATTGTACTCAAATATAGCACAATAAGAGCATTGAAAAAAATAAATACTCTTGAAGGGAATCTCCATTCCCATTTTGTCAAGATTGATAATTTTTTAGACTTTTCATCTTTGGATTACTCATTATAATAAATATCTACACAAAATTTTATCTGCTAAGTATGTCATGTTCATATTTCTAATGTTAATTTCTATGACATACTTATGAAATGAATATAAATTTGACCCGTTAAATGAATATAACCATAACGGGTTGTATTGAAGACAATGCCATATATTATTGTGTTGTAATTGGTGGCACCCGCAAAGTCAATCCGACCCATGGAATAATGTATGACATTGTCTTGAATGTGTGGAATATCATGCTATATTCAAGTCATTATTTTCCATCTCAATTTGCTACTAGAGAGAGAGAAACAACTTCACTAGTATGGATATAAAGCGCTGACGAAATGAGATTGTGGTTGAACCCTTTCACATCTCCCCTTTAGCTGTAATCTAAAACTACCCAATTACATGGTTTGTACTTGCCAAACAGCACCATGTTTGAACCAAATAGTGGTGAAGCTCCTCAGAAAGTGCTTACCCATCGAGGCCGGTCAATGTTTAAACTTGCTTCAAATTTCTTTAATTTATAAAAATAAACAAAACTCGACTTTAATTTCAAAACTTGTTTAAAACGAGCATAACCAGAACAATTACTTATTCAGCTCATTTAGATTTGCATACACAAAAATTGAACTTGATCTTAAATACGAGTCTAAACTTTGAGCTTAGTACAAAGTATCTACGGAACGAGCTTACACAAAAAGGGGAAAACTAGTCAGTCCCAGATTAATCCCACACTCTATTTGCAAACAAATGCGCCAAGCCTAACCAGTTAGTGCTCGATTCGATTGGCATCATTTGCACCCTGAACCAACATTGGTGCACAAGCACAACATATCTAACGAAAGCTAGTCCAACATTTTCCATTTTATTTAAATACTAAGAAATTAAAAGAAAACCCTTTGACCCCATCCATGAGTCGTTCTGACCCAAAAAAAAAAAAAAAAAATCTTGAGCCCATCTGACATCGACTCTATCTTATTATAACCATGTTCCCCTATGTTCTTTTAACAAGCTTTTCGGATTACAGAACAAACCAGAAACTTTTATGTAAGCCAAATGTAATCTTTTCAATCTCAATATTTGCAAGGGAGAAGTAGTTTCTACAGATTAGTAACATGTTCTGTACGTTTCTTTACAAAATTATTGTCAAAAGCTTCTAACAAAGATACAACCTTGATATACAAATGATTCTCAGCGTGTAGGGTCACTATACAGAGCTACAACCATCAGCCTAATCAAACAAAAGCCTAAGCATACAGATGAACTCTGGCTTATTCCATCTTAGATTACATACATTTCACATGCAACTGTACATATTAAACACCGCAAGTTATAGAACTGCAAGATACATGTTGAAGCTCAACAGTGTTACGCCTTTTAGTTTATAGGGAACTGAGTTGTGATCTAACCTCACCAATTGTAGTTGACACAGAACAGGACACAGAGTGAGCTGTGCTATCTTCATTTTTTCTATATGCACATTGTTACTTCTTAGTAGACTCCACATCATGGCCCCTCTAGTTGAGTCCACTCAATCAAGCCGAGCTGCTCTCCATGACAGTGAATTACTAGATTTCAGTAACAAGCCGAGTGCGGAAGAGGAAGTTGCTCTAACAACCACATCTGCTGACCGACTCATCTTGCCGACCAACAGTCCAAAAACCTATAAAGAGGATACGATTGAAGTTGTTAATGTGTCGAATCAAGCTGCAGTTTAACAGAAGCAACTGACAGAAGGTGCATTCAAGAGTGACCTGACTATAGTAAAGCGCTGAGATGTGTTGATCATCTGAAAGAGAAAGCATGCTGCTGGATAAATAAATGGCATTAGCCTGAATAACTGGCCAAGGAGCATCAAAGGCCTGCATTATCAGGGACTTTATCAACTCAAAATTATATCTAATATTAACCAGAGTTTGTAACACGAAAAAGACAACCTAAAAATTACATATATTAGGAAATTATGGAATATTTTGTAGCTCCGGATTCAACTTGCATTCTTTTCAGCAAGATGTGAACCTATATATCTTCTTCATCTATAGAAAAAAGATGCAAACCTGTATAGTTGACGCCATATATGTATCTACCCTGGAAGCTAGATGTTGAGTAAATTGCCTTGTGAACTCTCTGAGAAAGTCTTCATAGTCACTTCTGAAAAACACAAGACTTCCCCACTTTAATCACACATCACATGAATTGAAAAATTTAATCAACTTGGAAACTGTTTTACAGATCTGGTAATACGTACCGATGGTCAGAACTAAAACGATGCGAGTTGAATAGGGCTACCATTCCTTCTAATTTCATAAGGGGACCAATCTGTTTAAGGGTGTTCTACAAGACAAGTAACAATGCTGTTAACAATGGTTTCTAAGTGTCACATAGAGAAGAAAATGAATGCTCTGCTAGTTATTTACCCGGCAAGCCTGTCGGACACCAATATCATCATCATGAAGATGTAGAACCAAGCGTGGCAAGGCAGCATGTACCTGATATAAGTAGATAAAATCCATATCGATCTTGAGATAGTTAGAGCACAAAAAGTCAAAAGGCCTTTAATATGTAAAACCATGAAGAACAAACAAAATATCAAATCATTAGAACTTCTGCCATTGATATGTATATTCAGAAACATGTTTACCATCCACAAACATATGAGATGAAGAACAAGATTAACTTGTTAACTATTCAGTTAAGCGAGGACTTAAAATATATTGCCAACAAGATGGAGATCCACAAAACCCATGCTGCTCATGATATGTAAGGTACAGACAAGGTAACATGCTGAAAATATGTAGACTAACAAAATCAAGCTCCGAAAAAATAAATGTGTTTCACAAGATAACAGATAAAAGCTAATCCTAAACTATTCAATGGTTAGTCATTTCACAAAGGAGTTAGGTAAAAGGTATTGTAGTGTCATGGTACAGGCATGACATCCAAAATTAAGGGTGACCCCCACCCCCCCCAAAAAAAAAAAAAAGAAATAGGATTATGAAGATATTAAAGACAAATAGAACATTCTTGTAGTTTGCCTGCCTAAGTTAATCATTCCAAAGTCCAAAATTATTAGTTCTCAAGCGAATTACGTCAAAAAGGAAGAACAGAAAACATTTTAGACTATCTGGTGGTCATCATAGTCAAGAAGGGACCTGCTCGAGGAAAGCATCATGTTGTGCCCCAAATGCAAAGTTACTTAGCGCTCCTAATGCTGCAAAGGCATTGGCTCTCATCTTCTCATTCAGGCATATCTGTTCCAAACCACAGGCAAATTATCTCAATGTTATCACCATGCAGCTGGCATCCAGACTACTAATAATTCTGGCAAACGAAGATGCAAACAGACAGCATACAATATTATCTGTAAAGTTTACAGCCCTGACAAAAATATACTGCACAGGATAGGAAGCTGGAGGTGACTCTTATTACTGTACCAATGAGGAAAAGTGTTATGTTAAACATCTATCCACTCCAAAAACTTAACATGTTGAAAAGGGTGTAACTTAAATATTTATACTTTAACACGCTCCCTCATGTGCCGGCTAAATTTTGGGCCTAGCACGTGAAAATTTTTTAATAATTAAGGTGCCAGTGAGATTCGAACATAGGACCATACCATGTTAAACAACTATCTACTCTAAAAGTNTTTATACTTTAACACGCTCCCTCATGTGCCGGCTAAATTTTGGGCCTAGCACGTGAAGTTTTTAATAATTAAGGTGCCAGTGAGATTCGAACATAGGACCATACCATGTTAAACAACTATCTACTCTAAAAGCTTAAGTTGTTGAGGAAGGTGTAACTTAAGTACTCATACTTCAATAAAAAAATGATATTATACCTATTGATAGGGGCACAGGTAGACCGAACTTAACCTTAAATGAGATACTGAGAAAGAGCAAGACAGCGTGTTGTTTAACAGAACATATTGTCCTTTATAAAGAAAAATCACACAAAATGATTCATATACGCTGACCACAAATCATCAGCAAAGATAGTTGTTCTAGTGAAACAAACTAGTATTGTCAAAAAAAATGATTCATACAATTACAACACAAGTTAGATAAAAAATGATAATTATTACAACGCCAAATAGCAAAGAACCCACCTGAAGATTACGAAGTCGAAAAGAAAGATTAAGCAGAATGGGCTCGACAGCATCATTGGGCGATGACTCAAGAACCTAGGAAAGAAGAAAGATCAAGACAGCAAAAGAGAGTACAGAAAACTCTATCTTGATTTCAGAATCTAGTAGAAATGGAGAATCGGGGGACTCACTGTTAACAAGCATGACCCTGCAGTTAGTTGAACTGATTCATCTGAATCATCAAGCAAAGCTAGTACCACTCCAAGAACTTGAGCAGTGTGACGATGTATATGAATGGATGGTATCTGCAAGGCCAGTTGAAAACATGATGCCCACATCACAAATAATAGCAGGCAGATACTGATACTCATTGAAACTCATTGCTCAATTCAATTTGATTAAATACTTCATGTCATCTCAGTGTGGAACAGAAATAACCCCCAGGCACTTTTGAACACAATTAAACACAGTTTTCCTGAAAGGTGTTTGTTACTGTGTCCGAGTGTGAAATGTAAAAGTACATTTGACATTTTTGCAAGAAACAACAGATCAGACCAAATGAGAATCATGCATAAAGTACTCTGTATACAATTAAGGCCACTGAAAAAAGTATGAATAAAATCTAAACCTGCACCAGTCCTCTCAGACAAATGCGCCTCACATTTGGAGAATCATCTGATACATGTCGACATAATACTTCAACCATCTGCTCCAATAGAGTACCAAAGCCATCACTGCAACATTCAAATCCTTAATCAATTAGAATTTGAAAGAGTAAGATCCGAAACAATTTAAACCAACAAAGATTCATCGAAACAAAAAAGTATTTCTACTCCCCAACAGTAATGCATGGATCTGCTACTTAAAAATACATCACTTGTTATTCAGTGCTCAGAAATTATAATTTTACAGAAATGAGTCCCATTCCCATATGACACAAACCTATTGTTTTTATTAAATTGATCAGAAATATAATCTGCAGATTTAAGAAGCCAGGATTACAGAAAACAGAAATAAGCACACAGATTTCCAATGTAAGGAGACTCCAGCAATCTGGAAAGACGCTTGGAGGGAGAGAGAGATCACATCTTGGTTGAAATATCATATCAGACATACCTATAGCGAACAAACTCCGATACTGCAGCAGCTGCAGCTTCCCTTTGAAATCGCCAGGGTTGGCTCAAAGATTTACTCAAAATCAAACATATTGTTGACACCTGAGGAAGATGTCCATAGGAGAATAAATTTAAACTGCAGTCTACAAGATATGAAAAGCCACGGAATTAAGACCAGAAGTTTGCAAAACTATAACAGATATAAAACACAATTTGGACACTAAAACTCCCACATTTATAGTGTCAGTATTGCCATTTCGAGAAAATTTACAACTGAAAAGGTGTTAAACCCAACCATTAGCAAAGGAACAGAAAACTAGGTTATTCTGCCAATAGTTCTCATCTTTATTCTTCGTTTTTCCGGTTTTATCCTTGCACATATAATGTATTATGTGAAAGAACATGGTAAAAAGAACTCAACAAGGACAGCAGCCAAAGGCCCACAATTGTCTAACGACTCAATGCAATGTCCTGCTAGGAGCACCTTGTGATTGACTATCAACCGGGAGAGGAAGCAATGGAAACCTTGAAATCCTGTAGTGGCTTGATAAACTTCGNGCACCTTGTGATTGACTATCAACCGGGAGAGGAAGCAATGGAAACCTTGAAATCCTGTAGTGGCTTGATAAGCTTCGCAGGGATTTTGAGTTCAAATATTATCTGGTTGACTGGGATACAGTGTGCTCTCCAGTTAGAGTAGAAAGGTTGGGGATCAACAAACTTACACTGTTTAATCAGTCTCTATGGGGTCGATAGCTTTGGAGGTATACCAGAGAGGAGGGGTGTTTGAAGGAGTGTTATGATGACCAAGTAGAGTAAGGTGTGGGTATTTATTGCAAAAGAGGGATAGGTCCTCCAGCACATTACCAAGGTCGAGAATGGGCAATGCGTGTGGTTTTGACAGCATATTCGGCACGGAGACCTCTCTTTGACAGTGCGTCCCAGACTTACTTCTCTTGGCAGCTGGTAAAGAAGCTCGTGTGGCGGATTACGTGACTACCTTGGGTGGGGGCAGTGCGGAGTATGACTTTCCAGACGATTTCAGGATTGGAAATTGGAGTCTGTAGACTATTTTCTACCCTTCTTGATGTAACTTGTTTGCCATGGGGTGCAGGACTTACTAAGACAGAAGGATGGCGATGGTGTTTTTTGTGCATTCCTACTAAAATATCCTTAGAGGAATGTCACAGTCTAGTTTACCCTGGAGAGTTATTTGGAGGGCTAAAGCAATCCTCAGAGCAACGTCACATTCAGTTTTCCTTGAGAGTCATTTGGAGGACTAAAGCCCTTTAAAGGTTGCTTTCTTACTTGGACAACCCCATTGGAGGCTATTTTGACCGCTGATAATGTGAGCAATGTATCAGTAGGAGAGGGGGGCACANCCTTGAGAGTCATTTGGAGGACTAAAGCCCTTTAAAGGTTGCTTTCTTACTTGGACAGCCCCATTGGAGGCTATTTTGACCGCTGATAATGTGAGCAATGTATCAGTAGGAGAGGGTTCACTTGGGGTGTTGCCTATGCAGTTGTCAGACTCAAGCTTGTGTCAGGTGCAAAATACACAAATTTATCCTTTTTCCTCTTTCAATAACTTTTATGTAATAAAGGGATTTCAGCACTATTTCTAGGAAAAAACCGCTTCTCTTTTTTAACAGGCCACTTTTGGCATCCTATAGCCATGTTTTTTTAGAATTTCATACTTCCTGTGCCTGGGGTCATTAAACGAGCTTGAATGGATTCTACCACTGCTACTAAGAAATGGCCAAAACCTTCATGGAAGTTTTTCTATCTAATTAGCATGCATTTATATATCACTTCCTTGGTTCTCATGAGCTTAATCATTAATCATAAAAATAGAAAAAAAAAATGAAATGAAAGCAATTATATTTTTTCATTGCTTTTAGTTGGGTAATCTAGAATTTTCTTTTTGGGTTTCTAGATTTGTTCTTATATGCATGTACACTATGAATCTCCTCCATTTTAGTCAGTCTAGTGGATTCTTATGAAAAACAAATAAATAAGTAAAGAAGGAGGAGAATTCAAGTGGAACATATTACCTCTTTAGGCCTTTTTATAAAAATGCAGCCAGCCAAATCTCCAATCAAATCGATCCACTTTTCATTTTGTTCTCGATCTCTGGCCAAAATCTGCATATAAAGTTTGCCATTTTTCCAACTTGTTAAAGCAAGTAACAAATTTACATCACTGCAAAGAATGAGCAGGATTGGTGTCTACAAATTCATTCACCTTTCCCATTTCAAAATCCCCAACACAGTCGCAGAACGCCTGAAATGCAATCAGAAGTGCCCTGCAATTTACAAAGAAAATAGATGAAAGTCACACATTTGAAACACAACATAAAAGAAGTATCCATCCAGGTGTGCATTAGGTATGACAGGCAATTACCGTAGTGGTTCTAGCTGACCAGAACTAGCTAAACCGTGACAACTTCCCAAGTGAAGTGTAAGGGTTGCAAGAACAGAAGCATAACTTTGCTCAACAGCTTTCCTTCCAATTTTGCCACCACCTCTGCAACAATATGAAAAATGTAATACCATCAAAGACTGTAAACAAAGTTAAAATCCGATAAGTTCAGTTAAATAATTGCCTGGACATGCAAAAATAAATATATAGGTACCTGAAAAAGGCAGTGAGTGCAACAATAGCTGCCTGCAAGATGTCATCCTCTATGCTACTATCAACAGAATAGCTAGAGTTTTCTCCTTTCTCCAAATTACTTTTAAGGGTAGGCTTGTCATTAAGGACAGATATCACATGCTCCAGAAACAAAGTTGAGAGTATTGTGTGCTGGGAAAATGCCTATTGACAAAATGCAAAAAGAAGCAATAATAACTGACCTGAGGCAAACACCCAAGAAAGAAGAGAATGGAGAAAGGAACAATTAGAAGTTTTTGTGTCCTACAATTTCCTCACTCTTTTCTAATCTGACTTCCTCTGTTCAGGACAAAATGAGGTTAAAATGATATAACAATTCTACATCAATCCAAGGTTTTCTAACTTCAGGATATTTTTAGTGGTATATTTATATTACTGTACCTATTGTAGAGTGTTTATGCCATAATCTCAAAATCCCAATCCCACTTAAAATGGAAAGGATAGAGAAGTCGGGAGATTATTAGAATCCTACATACCAAACAGGGGCGGACTCAAAAAAAATTAAGGGTGGGCACATTAACACATTTTAATTTTATTTTCCAATTGACTGTAGAAGTTCATAAAATCATATTCACCGAAATCACATTTAATACTTAAAAGTTCATTAAACATAAAAGGTTAAAAATAGATATACATAGCATGAACAAATAAAAAATAATTAAAACTTCTTATCAAGAATGAGACTAATCATTGTCACTTACTGTAAACCCCTATATTTTAATTCAATTCAGCAATAAGATCAAATTAACTACTAAAATAGATATACATGTAGCCATCACGTTGATTAAGGAATGTTTGGGTGAGGAATTGTGTAGGAAATACAGTTGGAAATGGTGGTTTAAAGGTTTATTCAAGTTATTGCTNATAGATATACATGTAGCCATCACGTTGATTAAGGAATGTTTGGGTGAGGAATTGTGTTGGAAATACAGTTGGAAATGGTGGTTTAAAGGTTTATTCAAGTTATTGCCAAGTCTTAAAGAAATTTAGGAATAATTAATTAATTAACCCAGTATGCTACTAATTTAAGGCAGAATTGGGCTTGAGGTCAAAACTCAAAAGGCCTTAAAAAGGGGATCAAAATAAGTATATAATATTTAAAATATGTTTCATAGGCCTAATGCATAAACATGAGGTGGATTAATGGTAAAGGATCGGATGTGATGTTTGATTTTGTTGAATTTGGATTTTTGAAAAATTAAGGGATGAAGGTGTAATTAAGCTTATATATATTATGATTGATCATTAATCTAAATGTTTTAGGTAAAAAGAATATTATCAGTGAATCGAGGATGCGAGAAACCTTGAAATGGATGTTCAGACGTTGTAGTTATCTCAAGGGGCAAAATGATAATTTTGACATATCGGGTATTAATCTGGATTGAGGTTTATGATAAACCATTGATATAAATATTTTTAAGCTAAAATGATATTGCCAATGGAACCGAGTGATCAAAAAACCTTAAGATTTATGATTGGTTGATGTTGGGCTTCAAAAGGGTAAAAGGCTCAATTTGTTATTTCAGGTATTAATTTGGTTTGGGTTTTTAGTGGGTTTTGATATTACCCATAAAAATAAATGTTTCTAGCTTAAAATAAAATCGGAAATAAATCTGGAACATCGCAAAACTTTTAGAGACACATTTGGGATGAATTGGAAAAATTTAGGGATGAAGACATAATTTAGTGAAGGAGACCAAAATGTTTACGCGGAACTTCTTTGACTTTTAAGTTGGTTCTTCCACTGGCTTTACGCGGCTGACCTCTACTATAAATACTTCATATTCCTCATTATGCCGCGTCTTCAGAAACATTATAAGCACCTCTAAACACTTGGAACAAAAAAGAGAANTCTTCCACTGGCTTTACGCGGCTGACCTCTACTATAAATACTTCATATTCCTCATTACGCCGCGTCTTCAGAAACATTATAAGCACCTCTAAACACTTGGAACAAAAAAGAGAAAAAAGTAAGGTAATAGAAATGCTAGTCAGGATTTTGGTCAATCCGGAATTCAACTGCACCGATATACCTTTATTTCGTATTTTCTCTTCGGAAGTAGGATTTATTTTCTGATTCATATCAATGATAAATTTCATATTTTTTCGAATTTATGTCAAACCTATATTACATATGAGCAAGTTTTAATACTTCCATTGTACTATTGACGGGGGAAAATTGTCGAGTTTTGACAATGAAGCATGATTATATACATATGATGTTAATATATTGTTAGGTTCAATGGTTGAGATATTGATATGGTAATATGATGTTTATGCTACCATTTGAACCACATATTACAGATCTTAGCCATTATTGACGTTCTATCGTTCAATTTCTCGATTATTAATTAATATGATATTGTTGGTTTATCATGGACTTACTACTTATATGATATGATTATTTTGGCCTTTTTGAAAGCGTGGATGTCTGATATTGATGTTGGAAAAATTGGTTAGTGATGCCAGAGGACATTGGCCGCTTTTGTGGTACCATAGATGTATGTTATTCATTTTTCCATGACTAACATTGTAGGATTTATGGATGGTGTGCCTATATATCCTTGTAAGATTGGTGAGGAGTGCTAGAGGACGGTAATTGCCTATGTGATGCCAGGTACTAGTTTCCTAGAAGAACATGCAAAGCATAGTGTCCTTAAGGTGCAAGACCCTAAAGTACCTCGAAGTGGTTACAGTTCATGATTGGATTAGGTTATTATTGGTTGGTTATGTTGATGCTTGTGGCATTCCAGGGCCTTCAGATTTATAAATGATATTTTTGCTTCTTTTTTATTCACAGACAGGCATGCATATCATAATTTTCGCTGCATATGACATGGATTTTAAGGTTCTGTTGTATTAGGACACCATTAAATATGTCTAAATTTTATTTCAAAAAATATATACCTAATATCAAGAAAAAAATTGAGGGCCCATGGGTGGCTCCGCCCTGATACCAAATATTAAACTCCTGCTTAGAAAAGAGAAGAAAAACAGACGAGGTTTGCAAGACAAATGACCATAAAACTAAGCATACTTTCTGTGCTCCAGAAGCATGATAAACAATAACCTAGGGTCATTTCTTAATAAACAAAATCAATAACCATGCAAATGAGCAAATATCATGTGGGACTCACGTAAAATGCATCCTGCACTGGCCAGCCACCACGTAGTCTTGATATATCCTTAGTTGCTATATCCCTTCCGGCAGCAGCTAATACTTCATTGAACACAATTTTTGAATTGGTGTTCTCAGCTAGAGAACAAATCTTTTAATAGTTAAAGAAAATACTTAAAGAAATGGAGCTTGAGAATTGTTTCTGATAAACTATGGTCAATTAAATAACAACAGCAAAAGTAACATGTTGTAAATCAAAAGTTAATTATATATAGGGTAGAAGGATACAGCACCAAGAGTTTCCTGACGCAAATACTTCTCAGTTAAATGAACTGTAGCAGACAGCAAAGATTGTGTTGTCCTGTTGACACATATAATGTATGAATTTGCTTTAAAAAATTCCAAGATCTAGTGACTCACAAGAAATTTGGATTTCAAAAACTCAAATTATTCATAGAAGTCTAAAATTTATCCAAAGTTTTATCTTCTTGTAAAAGAGACCTTGAAATATCAGTCCCATTCAATTCATTTCCCCTTTTTGTAACCAACTCAATGACTGCTTGGATGGCACCTTCTGCAGACTGCTTGATCTTGTCACATATAGCCGCTGAGCAATTATACAAGGTGGCTACGAGCTGTAAGAATGGATGAGAATAGCTTAAGTCTGGAGACTGTACATAAATAGCACATATTTCAAATCTTAAACTGTGCCCGTCAAGATAATTTATACATTAAGATACAGAACCTTACCTCATCCTTTGCCAATAAGATACAAACAGAGGAGACAACCCTGTTAAATACCTCAGATGGATCAATAGAAGCATCCTGATGATGAAAAAGAAATTCAGTAGACAAACAGCAGATAATACCCCAAAAAATGAGGGAAAAAGCAATCCATCCTCCTCCATCCCTCTTCCTTAAACAAGAACTTAAAGAAAAAAAGTGAATGAAGATAATTCCAAAAAGAACTTACACGTCTCAAGATAGCTATAACATCCTCAAGGGAAGACAAAGCACTATAGGACAATTCAATATCTATGCCACAACTAGAAGTTACGGGCCTAGGTAGTGATAGAGATATATTGAACAAAAGGTCAATAATCTGCAGAGATAGCCACACAACAAAATGAGAAGAGAGATTAATGTTCATGTTAAAATGCACATAAAGAAAACAATCAATAATACCTTTAGCAAGTTCCACTAACAAAAATAATGGTAAAGGTATTTCACAAGGCGAGAACCTTGCTAAAAGCTTTCTAGCAAATACTGACCTGGGCAGAGACTTTCCTTACATCAGAATTTGTATCTGCACAACGTGGAAGATACACCATGATCCTATCCCCTAAACACAAGGCATCACGGCTTGGCAATACAAATGCAGCTGGAAATAAAAGGGAAGGCACAAATTCAGCAAGATAAATAAAATAAACAAAAAACAAAAGGTGTCACAAGAAACAAATTTACATGGCAAATTGGAAAAGATCCGCAGCAAAGTACGGTCAATTTGCTTGCTATGTGTGCAACTTCCACGGCAACCAAGTGTACAGTATCCACTGACACACTGTGTCCGAAACTTGAGAAGCATCTCATACACCGCAAGACAGCCTCTTCTCCTCTGATGCTCCGCGGGAGAAGAAACATAATGATCGATCTGTCTCAAGATATGCAAAAGCTGCTCTGCTCGACTTCTTCCATCCTCTCCACTTATTATATCAGATATTACCAGTCAAATTAGGCATAAAGAAAGTCCTATACACTGATGTACATGCATCCTCAATAAATTCCATAAAAGAATATATGCATATGAAGGAGTAGAATGTGCAAGTCCCTAAGAAATAGTCCATGTGATAACATCTTCATAATATCTCCTCTTTCACCCATCAGTACACAATAATCCCAGCAATCCAGGAAGGAAGCAGGCTCCAGAAGAGAGAGAAGGGAGAGAGAGTGACAGACAGGTTATTTTATGCATGTGTAAACTGCAGATGTTAACNACAAGAAACAAATTTACATGGCAAATTGGAAAAGATCCGCAGCAAAGTACGGTCAATTTGCTTGCTATGTGTGCAACTTCCACGGCAACCAAGTGTACAGTATCCACTGACACACTGTGTCCGAAACTTGAGAAGCATCTCATACACCGCAAGACAGCCTCTTCTCCTCTGATGCTCCGCGGGAGAAGAAACATAATGATCGATCTGTCTCAAGATATGCAAAAGCTGCTCTGCTCGACTTCTTCCATCCTCTCCACTTATTATATCAGATATTACCAGTCAAATTAGGCATAAAGAAAGTCCTATACACTGATGTACATGCATCCTCAATAAATTCCATAAAAGAATATATGCATATGAAGGAGTAGAATGTGCAAGTCCCTAAGAAATAGTCCATGTGATAACATCTTCATAATATCTCCTCTTTCACCCATCAGTACACAATAATCCCAGCAATCCAGGAAGGAAGCAGGCTCCAGAAGAGAGAGAAGGGAGAGAGAGTGACAGACAGGTTATTTTATGCATGTGTAAACTGCATATGTTAACAGGCAAAGATGTCACATCTAAACTGAGAAGCCTCTTTTGAACAAAAAAAAAAAAAAACTGAAAAGCCTCCCACACTATGTGATATCCTAACCAGTCAAACTTATGGTACATTTGAGTACTTTACAGAAGAAAATACAGCAAACCATTCCACAAAAGATATTCTAAACTTGTAATAAAGAAAATAGAATAAAAGACTGAATACTGACTCATAATCTCACAAAAACTACATTGACTTTACACTGAAAAGGAAACGAGATGTTCATTTGAAAATTGTCAATCTTATTCTCATTCATCGAATTCTTTGTACTTTTCCAAGAGATTTACTTTGTAAGAAACGAAAAACAGAAGGATCAGAGAAAATATACAACAACAATTATATGCAGAAAGAGGAGGGGGTTGATGGAGGGGCAACTGTTGAACATACAATAAATGAAAGCCAATGGCAATTTCAGTGACAAACAAATAAAACAAAAACCAACAAAATTATCCTCAAAGGAAACCATAGTGGAAGCTTTATTTTTAGTTAGCATAAGCTTCTCTGGAGAATTTCATACTGAAGGAATTACCATAATGGTTCCTAGCCACAAGAAAGAAAGAAAACAAGAAAGAAATTATACGCTTATAACACCAAAACTTTCAAGATATTGAAATCCAAAGCTAGTCAATAATTTCCTCCCACAAGGCAATGGCAATTGCACAGTGATTTGGTACCCATAGACTACTTTGAATGAGATAACAACTGCACCTTGACGACATATCCAAACCTCAAAGCTATGAAAAGTAAATGTAGAATATTGGAAATTTTACTTGAAGCATGTTTGAACCTTATGTAAGCAACTTTATGTTAATCCACTGCTGCAATGGATACATTATGTCTTCCCATTTATAGGAGTCAGTGGCACTTCAGTAATTTGCTACTCCATCCATGGTTTTTATAGTTGTAGTCCATGAGCTTATTTTGGGTTATGTTATTGGATCATTATATGGTCTTGACATAGTTTTTAGTAGTCAAAGTTTCTTATTTTAGAGACATTGTAAGCAGAAATAGTTGAACCTATAGATATCTATGCATGCAATTTAACATAAGAATCAGGGGAGGGTAATGTTTTCTATAAGTAAGAGTTCTGGGCTGCTGCTGAAATTCAAATTGGTGAAAAAAGAAAAGGATTGTTGTGCTACATCATCTTTCACTATTTTTCATACAGTTAAACGACCAAACATTGTTAGTAGACTTGTATTCATATTTCATACATGCAAAAGCACCTTGACAACCAGTGTTATCAACTCTCTTTTCAAAAACATAATGATCAAAACTTGTCTTTATTTGAACAAAAATGCACTTGAACAAACTGGGGGGGGGGAACCTGCCACCAGTGTTATCAACTCTCTTTTCAAAATCCTAACGATCAAATCTTGTCTTTATTTGAAGAAACAATGCACTTGAACAAATGGGAAAAAAAAAAAAAAACATTCCACCATTTCAAAAGAATGATTAATCTTAATAAATTAAATCAAAAATCTAACAAGAAATGATACCTTGTGAGAAGAATAGCACATAAGAGAGTAATAAGATTGTCTATAAGGGGGTCAACAACATCAGATGGATCATTTGGCAAAGCAAAAAATCCCAAGGTGGCCTGTCGAATTCAATTGGGAAGTACTCAGAAGAGACAAAAACATGCACAACGAATAAACTAGTAATGCATAATTGAAATGGTTACTAATATCTACACCTTCAAAACAAGGTCTCTTGTTTCAATTGTCAGTTTTGGCTCCACAGAAACCAACGTAGTGCAGGCACTTATAGCAAGGGCCTGCAAAAATATCCATAATCACAATAATTTGAGCAAGAGAAGGAAAAAATCTAAGGTCAAGAAAAAGGTCCAAAAGTTGGGATAGTGGAAAAGTATATGCCAGCACAAAGCTACAAGCATAATAACTCCAGCAATATACAAACCTGAGTGCGTAGGAGCTCAAGATTGGAATCCAACAAACCATCTTCATCGTCTCGGCCCATCAAAGTTAATATATAATCAAGTAACTGGTCCCTTCTTTTCAGTGGGAATGATGTGCCATTTCCAGCGGCAATAATGACAGCACGACCTGCATTAGCATTACACAACTATCGCACCCTAAGATTGAGAAAATCTCCATGAATGTTGCAAAAATATAAAATAACTCCAAGGAGCAACACAGCACAAGGCAACCAATTATGGACCAAGTTCAATAATACACAAAATATACAACAAATGCATTACTCAGCTTCCCACTAGATTAGCTCCACAGGGGGATACATCAGGACTCCAACAAAGGCCTAAAACCAATGAGTCACTAGATGTGCATCCAATTTAATGTAACAATGACCATAGAAAGTTTTCTTGGAAGCAAAAAGGGGAAGGTACCACTTTGTTAGAGTTATAGTCTAGTTTATTAGGGTTTTTCCTTTTTACCCTTATTATGACTTTTATATCTTGTCTAGACCAAAGGGATATTTAGATCTTTTTATACTATTGTTTGGCTATATATACGGGGGCTCCACACTTAGTTTGCATCTCTTTTTGACTGACAAATATTCCAAATTAGTTTCAGAGTCAAATCCGACCTCTAACCTTAACCCTAATCCTAGCCTCCATCCTACCCAATTATCAGCCCACCCCAGCAAGCACCAGCCACTGCCAGCCACCACCCCACTGCCCAGCAGTGCCAATCAGCAACTCCACCTTCAACAACTCCAGCCCACCGATAAACTACCACAACCCACCGACAAACATCCACCGACAGCCAAGTCCAACCACACAGCCTCCACATCCATCCACCGACAGCCAAGTCCTCCGACAGCACAAACCAACCCAAATCCAGGACCCAGAAACCAGAAACCAGTGTAGCATAAACATTCACCAACAGCATAAACCAGCAGCGAACCCATTTGATTGGGAGTGTTAGAGTTATAGTCTAGTTTATTAGAGTTTTGCATTTTTACCTTTTTTTACACTTATTATGACTTTTATGCCTTGCCTAGACCAGAGAGATGTTCAGGTCGTTTTATACTNAAACCAGCAGCGAACCCATTTGATTGGGAGTGTTAGAGTTATAGTCTAGTTTATTAGGGTTTTGCATTTTTACCTTTTTTTACACTTATTATGACTTTTATGCCTTGCCTAGACCAGAGAGATGTTCAGGTCTTTTTATACAATTGTTGGGGGCTCTACACTTAGTTTGTATCCCTTTTTGACTGACAAATATTCCAAGCCACTTAAACAAGCATGCCATAATCTGATTCTGCCCAGGCCAAAGTTACAGCACTTTGAATTCCAGCCTAGTAAAGATTCATAAGGCAAATTTTTAAATCATTCCACATCAAGTGGAAAATCCAAAAATTTCACAAGCCAAATTCAAGTAACTGAATCCAGATTATCAACAAGAAAGAAGAAAAATGTTCACCCCAACCAGGAAAGAACAGCCCTAAAAGACACCGAAAGCTAAGATATCTTCAGCAGCAAATAAGGACATAACAACAGAGATTATACACACACACACACACACACATAAATTTTACTCTAAAGGTACTTCACAAACCTAGTAGATCAATAGCAGTTATAANTATGAGATGAGGGAGAGAGATGAAATTAAAAATATTGTGAGTCTGGCACACCTTTGGAAGATACTTTGCCCAACATTATCAAGAATGTCTTTCAGTTTTCCCAAAACAGTGTCCAAGTGGGATGCTGCAACCTAAGAAATTCCGCAAATTAATAACATCCCAAAGTTAGAAGAATGACCACCAAACTCAGTAGCTAGTTACCAATCCCATGGCTTTTGCCAAACCAAGCCTATTTGTCGGGAATGCAATATTAGCTTTTCCATACATCCAATCAATCTTATTACGAACATAAGTCCTGTCATCAACTTTCTGAAGAAGCATGCCAAGACACCTGCAGCAGAATATAGGAACTTTAAATATTATTCAAGCCTCTCATCTTCCAAGATTAGTCAGAAAACTTTTTCGTTTCCTATTTTCTCTCCAACCAATATTATAAACTATAAAGTCAATTATATCCTTAACGTGTCTTGTGATCTTAGTTTTGTTTTCTCAATCTTTAATTATTTTGTTTGCTCCCATATTCTTATATCTATTAGAGCCAAAGTTATCAAGATCGTAGGTCGGTTGGGTACGTGGAACAAGTACAGATGTGGGGTACGTTACTTTCTTCGGTGCGCGGTGCGGTGGGAGTAAACTTAGGTGGTATAGTATTTTGGATCATGGTTTGCTTTGGAGTCTTATCTAGATCATTTTCAGTATTACAAAGAATTATATTTATATATACATTATACACATCATCAGTTGCTCTTTGTTTTAAACCTACAATAATTTGCACACTTTTATTCTATATTAAACATAACATAAATCTTATTTTGACTTTTTTATCCAAGTTGCGTTCTTCAGACATATAAAATAAATGGGTTTTTTTCGTCTTTTCACACAAACTAATACCCATTAGGAATTAAGTCAAAAAATTTGGGTACTAGTTCTCAGACACTCAGTGAGTGGGTGCCAATTGAGGGAGAGAGAGAGAGAGAAATGCATTCATTGATTGAAGAAATCAAATGAGGGAGAGAGAAAAAAGGAGGGGGCAATGTTCTGGAGAGAAAAATACATTCCTTGAATAGAAGAAATCATAGCGCAGAGAGAAAGACAGACGATGTTTCTGAAGAAGTTGAAGCATAGAGAGAGAGAAAGGGAGAGGGGTGATGCTCTGAAGAAGTCAAAGCAANTATGAGATGAGGGAGAGAGATGAAATTAAAAATATTGTGAGTCTGGCACACCTTTGGAAGATACTTTGCCCAACATTATCAAGAATGTCTTTCAGTTTTCCCAAAACAGTGTCCAAGTGGGATGCTGCAACCTAAGAAATTCCGCAAATTAATAACATCCCAAAGTTAGAAGAATGACCACCAAACTCAGTAGCTAGTTACCAATCCCATGGCTTTTGCCAAACCAAGCCTATTTGTCGGGAATGCAATATTAGCTTTTCCATACATCCAATCAATCTTATTACGAACATAAGTCCTGTCATCAACTTTCTGAAGAAGCATGCCAAGACACCTGCAGCAGAATATAGGAACTTTAAATATTATTCAAGCCTCTCATCTTCCAAGATTAGTCAGAAAACTTTTTCGTTTCCTATTTTCTCTCCAACCAATATTATAAACTATAAAGTCAATTATATCCTTAACGTGTCATGTGATCTTAGTTTTGTTTTCTCAATCTTTAATTATTTTGTTTGCTCCCATATTCTTATATCTATTAGAGCCAAAGTTATCTAGATCGTAGGTCGGTTGGGTACGTGGAACAAGTACAGATGTGGGGTACGTTACTTTCTTCGATGCGCGGTGCGGTGGGAGTAAACTTAGGTGGTATAGTATTTTGGATCATGACTTGCTTTGGAGTCTTATCTAGATCATTTTCAGTATTACAAAGAATTATATTTATATATACATTATACACATCATCAGTTGCTCTTTGTTTTAAACCTACAATAATTTGCACACTTTTATTCTATATTAAACATAACATAAATCTTATTTTGACTTTTTTATCCAAGTTGCGNTTGTGAGTCTGGCACACCTTTGGAAGATACTTTGCCCAACATTATCAAGAATGTCTTTCAGTTTTCCCAAAACAGTGTCCAAGTGGGATGCTGCAACCTAAGAAATTCCGCAAATTAATAACATCCCAAAGTTAGAAGAATGACCACCAAACTCAGTAGCTAGTTACCAATCCCATGGCTTTTGCCAAACCAAGCCTATTTGTCGGGAATGCAATATTAGCTTTTCCATACATCCAATCAATCTTATTACGAACATAAGTCCTGTCATCAACTTTCTGAAGAAGCATGCCAAGACACCTGCAGCAGAATATAGGAACTTTAAATATTATTCAAGCCTCTCATCTTCCAAGATTAGTCAGAAAACTTTTTCGTTTCCTATTTTCTCTCCAACCAATATTATAAACTATAAAGTCAATTATATCCTTAACGTGTCATGTGATCTTAGTTTTGTTTTCTCAATCTTTAATTATTTTGTTTGCTCCCATATTCTTATATCTATTAGAGCCAAAGTTATCTAGATCGTAGGTCGGTTGGGTACGTGGAACAAGTACAGATGTGGGGTACGTTACTTTCTTCGATGCGCGGTGCGGTGGGAGTAAACTTAGGTGGTATAGTATTTTGGATCATGACTTGCTTTGGAGTCTTATCTAGATCATTTTCAGTATTACAAAGAATTATATTTATATATACATTATACACATCATCAGTTGCTCTTTGTTTTAAACCTACAATAATTTGCACACTTTTATTCTATATTAAACATAACATAAATCTTATTTTGACTTTTTTATCCAAGTTGCGTTCTTCAGACATATAAAATAAATGGGTTTTTTTCGTCTTTTCACACAAACTAATACCCATTAGGAATTAAGTCAAAAAATTTGGGTACTAGTTCTCAGACACTCAGTGAGTGGGTGCCAATTGAGGGAGAGAGAGAGAGAGAAATGCATTCATTGATTGAAGAAATCAAATGAGGGAGAGAGAAAAAAGGAGGGGGCAATGTTCTGGAGAGAAAAATACATTCCTCGAATAGAAGAAATCATAGCGCAGAGAGAAAGACAGACGATGTTTCTGAAGAAGTTGAAGCATAGAGAGAGAGAAAGGGAGAGGGGTGATGCTCTGAAGAAGTCAAAGCAAACTAAAGCAAAGAGAGAGAAAAATTGTTGCTTCGAAGCAGAGAGAGATCGTGAATTGAATTCAAGAAGGCGAAGCAGAGACAGAGATTTATTACTACGAAGCAGAGAGAGAGATCATGAACCGAAGAGGTCGAAACAAAGAAAGATAAAGAGATTCGTGAACTGAAGAAGTTGAAGAAGAGAGAGTGAGAGAAAGAGTCGAAGCAAAGAAGCCCCCGCTCGCTGGCAACTGATACAAAAAAGCNACAGTATTTTAGCCTAAAACAGGGTAAGTTTGACTCTTGTGGAGTACTTTTCTAAGGTTATAGGAATATGTGACAAGCGTAAATTGTATCATCCTATCTCATTTGATGTTTCTAAGATGGAACAACAATGTTATAACATTGATGTTGTTCGTTTCTTAACCGGGTTGCAATCAGAGTATGAGCCCATCCATGCTCAGATTTTGGGAAGCCCTCACCTTCCTTCTTTTTCAGATGTATTCTCTCCTCTTTAGTGTGTTACCTTGTCCAATTCTAGATCTCTGACAGTATTGATCACATAAATGATCGATCAGCTTTAGTTGCTTCTCAGTATGGGTCTGGTAGCTCTTGTGGACGCAGTTGTGGTAGAGGAGGTTGTGGCATGCGTAGTGCAGCTAACAATTCTCGTGGAGGCCGTGGTGGTACATTCACAAGTGTACTCATTATGGGCGTAACAACCTCACAGAGTATTGTTGGGATTTTTACGTCATAAACCACCTATTTCAACTNTAATTATTCATAATGAACCGAATATATCACTGTTTTGTCGAAACGGTTCGAAACAATGCCGTTTCGACCGAAACGGTCCGAAACAGTACCGTTTCGACCGAAACACTGGAATTTTGTGATTCAACTACTGTTTCGTTTCGGAGTGTTGAAATTCCGAAACGTTTCGGACGTGTCGACACGACATTTTGATCCTTGCATCCGCCACTACTGTTTTTGCTCAATCAGGTACAACGTCCGCTTGTTTATTGTCTTACACTTCCTCCCAGGGTATTATTGATTATGGAGCCTCAAATTATGTGACTAGTTTTTCTAGTCAACTATCTCACTTTTACTTTGGAACCCCACCTCATAGTGTTACTCTTGCCAATAGATCCTCATCACATGTTTCTAGTTTGGGTAATATGTTGCTTAGTCCTTCTCTATCGTTGTCTTGAGTCTTACTTGTTCCTCATTTCCCTTTTAGTTTGTTATCTATAAGTAAAATTACTCGTTCTCTTTTATGTTCAGTAACATTTTGTGTCTTTCAAAATTTTAAGACGAAGCAGAAGATTGGTACGAGGCATGAATCGGGTGACCTCTATTACTTCGACTTTGAGCCTTATCCCCGAACTTTACAAACCTCATTATCTCTTCTTCAATGGCATTGTCGTTTGGGATATCCATCCCTTCCAGTTTTGAAGTCTCAGGTTTCTAATCTTAGTTTGTCAATCTTTGTCAAGTGAAGCATGTCAGCTTAGTAAGCACTATCGTGTGCCCTTTAAATCTAGGCTTGATAAGGTGTTTCAAGTCTTTTTTAATTAGTTCATTCCGATGTATAGGGTCCTCCTAGAGATTTATCTATTAATGGATTTCGTTATTTTGTTAGGCATAGCCATCCATATCAGCAGATCACCACCGACTCCAAGAGTCCAACTTAACTAACCAACGAACAACCACAAACAATGAGGATCAGAAGCCAGCATGCAGGGTCTCTGCACATTGCTACCATTTTTTCTCTTTGGGTCTCTACTGACATTTTTCAAGAACCACTGAAATCTTGTCTAATTCCTATTGCAGAAATCAGACAGGTTATCTTCAGTTGTATTGCATCTGTAAAGCTGAACCCATAGTTGGATGTACTACAACAGAATAGATTATTGCAGAAATGAAATATAACCCAATTCACACATGAGATGAACCCAGCTATACAATTGTCTGTGGGTAAGAAATCAGTTTGCAGCAAGATAAGTGAGACATATGTGAAATGTAGGAAGCCCTGTGAGAAGAATCTAGTTCGCATCTCCCTACAAACAGTCGGTGTTTTTAACAAATGATAAAAAGATCAAAGGAAAGAGAGGAGTGAATGGAGGAAAGCACATTTTTTTGACAACAAACTCAAAGTTCTACAAAACCAAACCCCACCCCCAAAAAAAAACCCCTTTCTGCAAAAAAAAAAAAGAGAGAAGAAAAAGAAAGAACATTTGAAGGCATTGGGTATAACCATATACAATGATGACGGGTAATATCACCATATACAATGGAATCACAAATTGTAACGTAGGAATACTACTATACTAGAAGACACAGAAATATAAAAATTAGCTAATCCAAAGCTTCAGCCGAGTGCTATAAAGCCTGGGCTATGACCTAATTTATACTCGCATTATGAAATACTACAAGTATTCAAAAATAGCAAGAAATGGACAATCAAGAAAAGGAAACTAAATGAACTATTACCGGTGAAGTAGCGCAGAATGTTCATCGTCAGATGTATAAAGTTCATATTGTTTAGCAAAAGCATTCCCTAAAGAAATCACCCAATCAGTCTCTTGAATCACATCCAAAGATTCTGCAAGAAACTGTCACCAAAAAACAGAGACATTATAGTGGTAGTATAAGCAGTAAAAAAATAATTCTCTCATTTCTCAGAACTCAAGACAAGCCTATTTGATCTTTTGTAGTAGTAAAATGATATATTACATGTGCTCTATTAGAGTAGAAAAGATATTCATGATGAAAATTATATCAATCACACTGTATAATCTCATTTTGCATTTCAGCGTGCATGCTGAAATGCAGGAAAGACGTGAAAAAGTTTGGTTCATGTTGTTTATTGCATTACCTCAGTGAACAATGGTGTCTAGTGAAAGCAAAGCATTTTGCACAATGCATTCAAACAATAATAACCAGGAAAGAATCACACATTCAATTAATGCCTACGTCAGTCAAGTCCATACAAACTTACATTAATAATCATGTCATCCCAAGTTTCTTGATATAAGGGATCTTGCTTTAGGTCTTCTGTGTCACTGACATATGCTTTCATCTTTGGAATCTAGAGCTTACGAAACAAAAAAACAATTAGAAACTAAAGCACTGTAATTCTCTATCAGTCGAAGTCCAAATAATGACGAACACAGACAAAAAACACCATTTTCACATTGATAGGTCACAGGAGACCCTATGAAAGAAATTGAAATTGGAGATGCTTAAACAAGGAGCATTTTGGGATAATGTCCCTATAGGGCACCTCCAAACATTGGGAGAATGTCATAAAAATGCCACAAGCTTCCTAAACTACACATTAATTGTCATAACTTCACTGAACTTGAGAAATACCCATCTATATTCATACATATACACAATTATTGCTGAATATGATAAACAGCTGCACTACAGTTGTTCAGACTTGCAAATTACAGCACATAGAGCAAGGGACCACCAAACACTTTTCAAAGTGCAAAACCTTCCTGCATTCAACCAAAAGCAAGCAGGANCTGAATATGATAAACAGCTGCACTACAGTTGTTCAGACTTGCAAATTACAGCACATATAGCAAGGGACCACCAAACACTTTTCAAAGTGCAAAACCTTCCTGCATTCAACCAAAAGCAAGCAGGAAAAAAAATGCTACTGTAGAAAAAAAAAATAGTAGTGCAGCTAAGCAGGAAAAATAAATTGTAAAAAAAATACTCTAGTTAGACTTGTTTACACAATATTAGCTGAGCAAATTAAACGGCAGCACCTGGATTGCTCACACAGTCGAGGAATGCATGAGAGTGTGTTTGGAAAAAGACAGGAAGTGGGCGGAGGGAAGGAGTGATACAGATTTGCACAAATTACTGAGGTCGAAAGTAGGGAGGTAAGATTTNAGCTAAGCAGGAAAAATAAATTGTAAAAAAAATACTCTAGTTAGACTTGTTTACACAATATTAGCTGAGCAAATTAAACGGCAGCACCTGGATTGCTCACACAGTCGAGGAATGCATGAGAGTGTGTTTGGAGAAAGACAGGAAGTGGGCGGAGGGAAGGAGTGATACAGATTTGCACAAATTACTGAGGTCGAAAGTAGGGAGGTAAGATTTTGATACCAGTCCTATTATATTTATGTTACGAAAGAGCTTTCACAAAATTCCTAAAACTATGATAATTCCTCTTTTTCCCTTCAAATTTTTAATAACAGAAGTGCCTCCTAATTTCTTCATACTCGCAGATTTCTTTTAATATCACCAGTATAAAATTTGAGACTCATATTGGTGGTTCTTTCATTACCATTAGGAGCATGTAAAGCACTAATCATGATTTCATATCCAAAAAACTTCTTTAGAAAATCAGCCGATCAAGTCAAGTTAAATTATAGTCAACGTCATTAGCATGTTACCAAAAAAAATAATAAAAATTTGACATAATTTGCTAACCTAATTCACTGTAACCTTTGAATTCACTGTAGACCCCATCAAACATTAGAACTTAATGTTGATCCAATGATTCATATGAAGCCACATCATTATGTCAACAAATTATGGCAGATTTTTATGTCCAAATAGCATTACTCTTTTTTTTTTTTTTAATAAAAAAAAA